TGGATGACACAAATGACAGTAATATTAGCAATAATTCCCTGGGATACGAAGGCCGCGAGAACATAGTGGAAACACAGAGAAATAAACTCCGTTGCGAGTGTGAACACAAATGTGGCGCAGCTAATCGAAGGAGGCGTGCAAAGAATGATGATCGGATGGCAGAGTTCAGGTGTACAAATTATTCAATTATATTTCTCATTTGTAACGTTTACTGTCCACAAATCATCTCGGATTTGAACTCTGAAACTCTTGAATCTACAACCTGACACATTCACATTCATGCAAGAACTGAGAAAAATTGTTGTTCAACTCGGATACAAGAAAGGCAAAGAAGTGTGCAGTGTGTTTATATTAAACGGGGCAGTTTCTCTGAAGCCTGCAACCGAACTAACTTATTCAGTACCAAATCGTATCAACTACGATCAGCTGGCATCATAGACAGTGATGAGAAAAAATAAGCTCAAATTGACAATCATTCAGTCAATTTAGACCGATGATGTTGGACCTTTGGAATTCAGGGACACATGTTTGAGGTTTCGTGCACGATTAGAACATAAAATGATCCCATAATAAACCCGATGATTATGCGATGTCTTTGAATAAAGATTGCACCCTGAAAACCGATTCTACTCTTCGTTCTGATTTGTTCGCTCTTTCCGCCTCTTCGTGTGATTTTGTTTCGCGGACTCATTTGCAGAGATCCAATCAGACCGAAAGAGGATCCGATCATCACAAGCGGTTTCCTGTTCACTGGTTTAGAGAACGGCGGAATTCATTGTGAATATCCGCTCGTGCATCAGCTCACATACTTCCACCGGCTCGTGATCGTTCGTGATCGCAAAAACCAATTCTGCTTTGATTTCCTTGTTCTACACAGATGCTGACCTTGAAGGGGTCTGCACACAGTGTGGACCCCGACAGAGGAGATAACCATAGNTGCATTGTCTGCGTCTGATCATGAACTCTCAGCACAGCTGAACCATTGCCCACTTGAAAAAGACTCTCGGTTGATTTTGACGCAGTTCAACTATCGTAAATCGCATTTCCTCCATTTCATTCAGTTTTCTGTCGCTCAATATCTGTGAGGTTCATATCAAATATTGCGTTGCCTCTGCTCGTAAAGTCCATGCTAACATCCACTCTATCTTTACATCTTGATCTTCTGCAATATCGTTGCCCTGCATACATTCCACGCGTAGATTGTGTGCATAAACAATTGACAGTTTCTAGCCCAACACAAATATTTACAGACAGTCATAAGGTTATAAGAAAGCTTCCAACAAACCATGATGCTTGAGATTATAGTTCCTCCATTGACTACTTTAATTTTTCCACTTCGGGTGGTTTCATTATTTTCCACATGATTGAAAATTTGTGCGAATACGCACACACATACAATCCGGTCCATACAGCACACTATATGCAATGAGGCTGTTTTTCTTCCGACGAAGCTTTTGGAATACTGTATCCCTAATAGTCTCCAGCAAGTGTTTTTCAGAATATAAGAATATTCATTGCCCTGCACCATTGTTTAAAGTATATGAGTTTGCTCAAGTATATCTTTGCTCGTTTTGATTCCCCCGAGTTCTTACATGAGTTATTAGCCTACATCTGACGGTATACAGTGATTTCAGTGGTAGAATTCCTAGTTGCGGAGTGGTTTTAGAACATCTAAAAGGGATAGTCAGCAAGAGAGACACAATGTAAAAGATCAGTCTGGTTGATAGACAAACGCGTATCGATCGAATTTCAACTCAATGGGTACAATCTTTCGATAATATACAGGCTATTCCCAACCGCACAGTATGACAATGTTCGCTCCATGTTGTTCTTTTATCCTCAGCAGTCAGCCGTGCATTGACTAGCGCCACGTATCTTTTATCGTGTACTGTTCTTGATCGGACGGATCGATCACTGGAAACGGTTCATCGATCGATAGCTCTATGGTTGGGGCCACTCCGACTTCATCTTTATGTTCAACTACTAAAGATCGTTTGCCGAACTGTAGTTGTCGCCTCATTCGTTTCTAGGTGTTTTGAATATTTTCAAGGGCAATATTCACGCACGTCCCATTTGTGCAACTCATTTCTATTCCTATTCTAGTCGACTGACTGCTTTTGACGTCCGGTTGTCACGTTGCACAGCAACTGGTTCGCATTGGAATCACTAGATAGAAGAATTGCTATTAGTTAGGTTACGTTCCACTACGTAAAGACGAATTTGGCGATCGTTCATTATAGTGTATCCAGTAATACATAGCAATAAACATCAATCTCATCCGCAGCGAATATTGCCACTCAGCGTTCACCATAGGAAAATCTTTTCACGCTAATGCTCCATCAATGCCAAATGTGGAATGTTGTTGTTGATTTCGGTTTCTTATACAGTATTTTGTGAAGAATATAATCTCAATGACTCGTGATAACCGGCAGCTTAAGCAGTGGTGAACTACACGACGAGGCCTCATTAGAATGAGTGTGGAATAGAGCCAGACAACATCAAACCAGCCTTCAGTTGGAGTTAGAATTGCGGACCCCAAATCACGTAAATCATTGATGACATCTCACCAGGAGTGGCGGATAACCATTGTCTCCCAGTACTTTTTTGAGGCGCTTCATTTCCATTTGGCGGTTATTGTCTTCATTGCAGAGCTAGAAGTAAACAAACCAGTGATACAACCTAATGACAAAAGAGATCGTGTGACCGCTACTGGCATTCCATATAGATCAAGCACTTCAGAAGCAATCAGAAAGATCCTCGATGATTTCAACATACACGCACTCTCTCTCAGTTGACAACACTCTGAAACGCCATCTCACGAAAGCCCACGATTCGGCCGAATTGCAAGATGAAAACAACTGCATTTACAAAATCAGTCGTGAGGAATGCCCCGTAGAATATATAGGACAGACCAGTAGACAACTTAAGACAAGAATAACCGAACATAAGAAAAAAGAAAAAATCGGCCTACGGACAAAACAACTCTGATAAAACTAAAACGAGACTCAACGATTGCTCTTCACGTCATAACCGAAGGTCATACCATAGACTACGACAACTCGGATTTCGAACATGCACTGAACACTTGTATGCCAAAGCTTTGGCTATTAACACTCACTCTGCGTGTGTCAACAGGAACCTCGGAATCGAGATCCCAAACATTTAGACTACCCTAACATCCCTAACGCATAATCACGATAAAGGTCACGGTGTCACTTGACCTCATCTGATAATGGGAGTTAGTATGACAGAATCATTCAGCCCACCCCCACACACGCACACACAAAGACACATACACGACGAAATATCCTTTGACTTGTGACCCTTTCCTCCGAGTCATCTGATTGTAAATCTGCGTTGAGAAAGACTACCCACGGTAACCGACTCGTCGGCGAATATAATTCTGTAACGGCATCGCTGTGTTATTAACACTATAACATTCACAATTGTATAGTGCTTCCTAGCTTCCTAGCCCCTCAGTTCATACTTCGTTTGCTCTATACATGACAAAATCCTTTATATAAAAATAGCCAGCTGAGAAAAAAATTAGCTTAAGTCATCAAGTTTGGATTAGTGCATTCGATTATTTAGGGGCAACAGCCACTCTTACGGTCCCCACACAAAGGTTCGCGGTTTGAGTCCTGACGAAGACACAACGTATGCACTGTTAACGAGCCCCAAACAGAACGAAACAACTGTCCAGTGACCCTTGTCGGTCATCAAGAATATTTTCATCACCCTGGAGAAAGCAGTGGCAATACAAAAGCCAGAATTAGTATGACACGTGCAAACTGTGATTGCCTCTCTCCCTAATCGTTTCATTCCACCGTAGCAATGAATCCCCTTTCAGCGGAAAACATTTGTATCTCTGATAAACTAGTGTTTCTTTTTAGTTCACGACAAAAGAAAAAGAATGAGTCTATATATATTGCCACCGGGCGGTAGCACACTTCACCCTGCGAACCCAGCCCACGTGACATTTCGATGCACTCCCATCCACCAATTGCGACGGCCTGCCATCTGAAACCGCGTGCATTCATTCACTGTCACTCCCAAATCGCGTGCGCGTGATTCGTCAATGTGTACGCTTGTGGTGTCTAAAGTCACGCGATTTTGATTGGTGGATAGGCGTGTATGAAGTGTGTTAACGTGACACGTGCACTGCATACAGGGGACTGATGACACCAAATCACAATCACGCGTGTTGGGACGTGCTGTCGGTTCATAGGGGAGNCTGATAATATCTTTTCGCAAAACGTTTAGCCACTCACACTACCCGATTAACATTAAAATATCTCATGTGAGTTTCGCATTGTCACAATGATTAGAATCACTTAGGAAATTATAACACGTGGACTGCTGTTGCCTTTTACCAATGTGATATGGCAAATTTCCACTCTATTCTTCGCTTTTTAGCAACAGTGAACTAAATAAATGAATGCCCGTGGCAATAATAAAAAATTATTTCTGTTCTATGGATATGCAGTAATTATACGCAATTAATCTTTGATCAATGAGCCCTGGTCCAACAAATGTTGGTAAGTAACAATGAAGCAGGGAAATCGGACGGTAATGACAAGAATTTACGATAGTGTCCACAGATCACTGATCTGCAGATGCGTATCAACCAACTATGTCGTGGTGAACATCACGGTGAACATCTCAACATTCCTCCAAAATTAAGGGAATTCATAAAAATCAAAACGACGATAGAAACAGTTCAGGAGTTTTGTTATAGGTGGCACGATGCATTTGAAAATTGAAATCCGCATGCGCGTTTTTCATTTTAATAGGCCAAAACGCGGTAGTCTAAAATGGTTTGGTTACAACCTTAGGGTCATAACAACTGATCTGTCGAAATAAGCACATACGCGTGGGCATTTTCATCTTTTCAAGAGTTTTCTCCCAGAATAAAAAGTTTTACTGAGTGCAAATGTTGAGTTCGAAAAATAAAAGGTCAATTTGTGTCAAGTCAAGTCAAGTTTAAAATGCCATCTTATTCAAAATCCATCCCATGAAGTTTCACTGCGCTTGCTCACCTGTAAAAACGAAGCATCCGGATGAAGTGTAGGCGTTTTGACCATCACATTCAATGCTTTTTCACTCAAACCTAAACCATATCCACTGGTCAAATCAAGATCCCCGACTTGGTATTGAGATGTGACTGTCCCACCGGCATCCGCGGAGCCATTAGCACCGGTTTTCAATTTGGCTGCTCCTCGTGCATTGATCGTCCGAGTGCCGGAAACCGTGGAACCAGATGGTGCTGTAACTGAAACTGAATCCGTGGAACTGCCTTGGTTGATCACTTTCTGTCGCAATTCTTCAACTTGGGCTTGAAGAGCCCTGAAAAAAGGGGAAAGCTATGTAGTACCGTTCGTTGTTCACATGGTCCATGTCTATCGAACAATTGTCATGAATTTGTCTCATACGTTTTATCAACATCATGTATGTAAACACTGGGGGTGTGTAGGTGCGCAAAGTAAAGAGAAATATGAGATGTGTACTGACAGACTGAGTTTCAGTTAGATGGAACAGAGAGAAAGTAAAGTCACGGTGTCTGAAGGACGTCTAGCGAATTCCCATGGGGTTTATCAGATAATGCAAACATACTGTAAAATAACTACTTGGGCTGGGTAGAAACGAGTTGTGAGATGCGACGTGCCACATAAACAACGCGGAGATTGGGAACGATGTTCATCTAAAGAAAATATTCTTCTTCAAACTTTCTGAAAACCAGAAAGAACATCGAAGGATGCTAAACAATAAATGAAAAATAAGGATTTCAACAGAAAATTTGATGGTCTATGCCAGTGAAAAAATTCTGCTCAAAACAGTTCATTGATTTGTTGGTGAATATGTTTCAAATTCGCGCAATAGTTGTTCATCCTGTGAACATCCTTCACACCAAATTCCATGCAGCGTCAATGGTCAGTCAAGCAGATTCAAATCGTTCTAACCCCCAAAACGGTTGATTTCGGTTAGGTTTATTTTTAAATTAAACTGTGAGATGAGCAGGGCCTATGACCCGCAACAAGCTCGCGAAGATGGATTACGCTATATCGTGTAAATGGAAAGTGAAAAACAGTCTGATCGGCTGCCCGGTGGCCGAATGGGTAGTATGCTTGTGTTCTGCCTGTGAGGTTCCGGGTTCGATCCCCAGTTGGATCGATGCATTTGCACTGCTAATAAGATCCAACCAAGTCGAAGTATATATATATATATATATTTACCACCGGCTTGAAAACAAGCATGGTGCCAACGCAACAACAATGACCGTGAAGGGGATAGGTGGATTAGGATACAGAACATGGGGAAAAGTGAGTGAGTTGTTCATTGCTTTCTGGCTTTTCAGTTCACTCTTCATTTGCTATATACACGACGAATTCACCTTTGAAATTAAACTGTGATACATTTGTGCACTGCTATTTATTCCATTCTGATCGTATACACGTCATACGCTAAAACGGAATCATCAAAACGTGCCTTGCCAGTGTGCAGTTATCGTTTAGCTCCTATGCTGCTTTACTCACACGTACCTCTTTGTCACGTGGTCTCTGTTTTCCGTACGCAAAAGTACAAGTAAATAAAATGTGGATGAATTTCGGGCAAGCAATGAAATTTCAAGGTCAAGTGTTTATTTATGGCTATCGACAAGTTTCACTCAATTCGAATTAGCCCATCATGTTCCACACAATCCTCTTAAAGATCTGGATTGACGAAAAAATTCACCCGAACACCAAAAGGTACTACATGCATATAAAGCGACTAGGTTTATCCCTCACGAGTGCTTTTTTACCTCGATGAGAAAGTCGAGAAAATAGCACAAACCATGGTTGAAAATTAAGGATAATGTGCCAACGCTCCACCAATGCAATGTCCCCGTTTGATTCCAGACTTGTGAATGTACAAAAAAGCTTTTTTTCTATTTCATTTTTCCGTTTCTTGCTCTAATTTCGTGGGTTTTTCCACGACAAACTTTTATCATACATCTTCCATCTTATTCCACTTCATCTTCTTCTTGGGCATCGTCACCGAGACTTTATGTCTTTTCAATCGATTGCCAACCAATGTGCGATTTCTCGGTTTCACATTAACGCCATACCTACGTCTGCGGTACGGGACTGGCAACTAAAATACCGAATCAATATTACTTGGTTCTGTGTAGGTTTGAGTTGTAAAATGAAGTGTGCAGAGGGAGAGAAGAAAGAATTGATTTATCCTCGTGTCCAATGTTATGGAGTTGTGAATTTCCAAAACCATGTGTCAGACACAGTTCACACCCGTCCGATAGCGTTCCGCCCACACTGCAGTGGGGCACACCATTCGTACTCTTTCACTGTGCAAATCAGTGACCTGTCTGGATCTCTTCACCAAGGGTTAGTGATGTTTTTTTTTCTCTCACAGACCATCCGAACAAAAATAATGTGTTCTGCAATTAGGATGGAACAGTTACGCCGGTTGTACTCTCGCCTAATAGATTAAAGGCTAAAAGTGCATTTGCCACGGGCACTCAAACAGATGGCAATGCTTGTGATAGATAACTGAATGCGCAAAGCAAAAGTGGATTTGATGAAAATATGCTCAAACATTTTTTTAGGTCAGCAAGCTTGGATTGGCCCATTCGATTTTTAAGAGACACCCGGCACTCTTGATGTTCTTGGGTGTGGGTTTTACTCCTTGGGAGGTCGTAAATTCCTCACAATCTCGTGCATTTACATGAGACGGAAATGTGTGTGATATCCGACAAACAGCACAGCACAAACATTTATTTCCATCGCATGCAAATGCATGAACTTGTGGAGAATTAACGATCTCCCAAAGAGTGAAACCCACACCGAAGACTGTCAAGAGTGCCTGGTGCCTCTGAACAATCGAATGAGCTAATCCAAGCTTGATACTCTAAACATTTATTGAGCCATTCGCACAAGAAGATGACCATCGACCGTGTAGCTAATGGGTAAGGGTTTGAAGTCCCAACCCGAACGTTCGTGGTTCGAGTCCTAACAGGGACACCAAAAGTACACACTGCTGACGCGTCCCAAAAAGGACGAATTCAAACTACATTATCTTTTGAACTCATCTGATGCACAACACCCCAATGTGATTGGGTTAGCTGAAAGACTGTTTACGGCTAGTCAAGAGCACACGGGTTCATCCAACTTACCGATTAATTTGTTTGAACGCAATAAACATCTCTTTCAGTTGTCGCAAATTCATTATCTGAAATGGATAGAGGAGGATTACGTATTGGATCTGCAACAGAACCGAGCATAGACGACGGGTGAGCTGTAAGCACAAATGTGAACCAACGTTTTCGGATGGAGTCAGTCGGTCTGGACAACAATCGATTGACCGATTTCGGTCAGCCGTGAAACGATCGGAAGCAAACCACTTGATGTGGGGATACCAAAAGGCTAGTGCATGATGCATTATCGAGTGCGTGTGTATGCGTGCACCGAAATTGGTCCCCGTTCGGACAGCCGATACCGAATGAACTAACACGTAAGCGAGCAGACCTCTGGTTCATATTCCGATAATATGTCACTGGATGGAATCAAATAGGTAATGAGAAATAATCAGATGGACAAACAGATGGGCGTCGGATATTTGGACAGTATTTACTGGCACAAAATGGCATAGTGATTGCGGATTGAGAATGGATCTGAGTTTGTTTTTTTAATTCAAATGAAATTAGGCAACGGTCTAACGAGCTAACAGAGGAAAGTCGCAACAGTTGAATATACTCATTTGCGTGTGTTTAACCACAATATTATCCAAAATACTAATGCGCATCAGGACAGCACGGTTTTATTTCTTGCATACCTAAAGTTTATTGGTGTGACACCAATCAATAAATGTGAATCATCTCTATTTCACATTGATATTGTGTCTATCTAATTTCCTTTGAACAGATTGACGCAGACAGAGCCACCCGTACAGGCTCCTTGAGATCCTGGCAAACAAGCCCCAATGGTTGCGTCATTCAGTGGTCAGACTTCATCATCCATCACTTGCTCTGCACGACTGATGATATATAACTCATCAAATCACTTCTGGTTTTTACTCACCAGAACAAGTTTATTGGAGCATTTTTTATCACACACCTCAGTGTGATGAACAGCAGA